AGGAATGTGTTGGGTCTGGCCTCCAGTGAGCTATTTATCTCCTTAGTGACTCCAAATGAGGTTATCAAGCTGCAACCCTATTGACAGGCTAAACTCCACCCCTTCACTCTTAATAGTCTCAAGTTGGCATCATGTAACTACCACAAGCACATTGACAGGAAATTTCCAGAAGTTCAGGCCAGATTGAGAAGAAGACATGGAACATGGGATACCATTGCTGATGTCAGATGACGCTTGGCTCAAAACAGAGAATACCAGAAAGATGTTTCCTGTGTTTCATTGACTATGCAGAGGCACTCAACTGTGTGGACCATCATAAACTATAGATAATCTTAAGAATGGGAATTCTGGAACATTTCATTGTGCTCATTCAGAACTTGTACATTGATCAAGAGGTAGTTTTGTGAACAGAATAAGGGAATACTACATGGTTTAAAATCGGGAAAGGTGTGCACCATGGTTTTATCCTCTCATCATACTTGTTCAATCTATATGCTGAGCAAATCATCAGAGAAGCTGGATTATAAAGAAGAATGTGGCATCAGGATTGGAGGAAGGCTTATTAACCACCTGCTGTATGCAGATGACATAACCTTGCTTACTGAAAGTGCAGAGGACTTGAAGCACTTGCTGATAATCAAGGATTGCAGCCTTTAGTGTGAATTACAACTCAATGTAAGAAAATCTTCACAACTGGACCAATAAGTAACATCATGATAAATGGAGAAAAGCTTGAAGTTGTCAACCATTTCGTCTTACTTGGCTCCACAGTCAATGCTCATGGAAGCAGCAGTCAAGAGATCAAAAGGCACATTGCATTAGGTAAATCTTCTACACAAGACTTCGTTAGAGTATTCAAGAGCACGAATGTTACTTTGAAGACTAAGCTGTGCCTGACCCAAGCCCTGGTATTCTCCATTGCATCATATGATTTTTGAAAGTTGGGCATTGAACAAGGAAGACCATAGAAGAATCCAGGCATTTGAATTGTGGTGCGGGAGAAGAAGACTTGCTAGCTTCTGCTAACAGGACAAACCGATGTGTGTGTATCAGAAGTAAGACCAGAGTGCTCCTTATAGACAAGGATCCCAAGACTTGGTCGTACATACTTTGAACATATTGTCGGGAGAGACCAGCCCCGGGAAAAGGACGCCATGTTTGGTAAAGTAGAGGGCCAGAGAAAAAGAGGAAGGCCCGCAACGAGACGGATGGACACGGAGGCTGCATCAATGGGCTCAGGCAGAGGAGCCATTGTGAGGACGGCGCAGGACTGGGCGGTGCTTAGCTCTGTTGTGCACAGGGTCCCTGTGGATCGAATCCGACTCGATGACACCTAAGAAGAGCACCAACTGGGAACAGGGAACTAGAGGACACTAGAGGATGAGAAGTGTGCAAGCAGAAGGGGCAGAGTCAGGCCTGGGGTGGTGATTCCTTGGGGCAGCAGTGAAGCAGCAAGAATTAAAAACTGGGAGCTCTGGGAGGTGCCTGTGACAACTGGTAGGGTCTAGGCCACAGCTGTAGGCATCGAGAGTGGTAGGTGGGCTCAAGTCTCTCTGTCGCATGGAGACCAGGGTTTATTTTTGGGGTGACATGGGGAGAATGACAACACGGCTTCTAAAGGTAGGGTTTCAAAAGGAATGCCACAGACTCTAGAGCGCACAGAACAGTTAAGGGCAGTGGAATCGAGTGGAGTACAGGGATCAAGAAGTCAATTTTCGATGACGTTGCACATTCAGTTCCTGCTGTCCGGATCCTTTTCCTTCTTAGGACTCCAGGAATGAATCTTTAAGACACTGCTCTTCTGGGAAAGCTTGTGGCGCAGCCCCAGTTTGCCTCCAGGGACACTGATGTTCATCATGTTAACCTACCTCCCTCTGCTTTCCCATTTGTTGAGAAAAGGAAATGATTCGAGTATAGGCCAACTTCAGAGTACAATCCAGGAATTGTTGACTCGTGCAGATTAAATCCTTAAGTAACTGGACACTATTTAGAAGTGGGGATTGGTAACAGGGCAAACTTTCAAGCCACTCATTCACTAAGACAGAGCCATGCCTACCAGATTGATGCCTGTCATAAGTGAAAGAGGCATTAAAGTATTCCTATTTGTGGTGCTAGAGAAGACGACTTGCTAGCTTCTGCTGAAAGGACAAACTGATGTGTATTGGAAGAAGGCAGGCCAGAGTGCTCCTTACAGACAAGGATGGCAAGAGTTGGTCAGACATAATTTGGACGTATTGTCAGGGGAACTACATGGCAGTCCCGGGCCACCTTACATTGGGCACCCTCAAAGTAAGAGATCAAAACCAAAGTGCACTCACTGCCAATTTCATAACGTGGGCCTAACAGTCATCTTCTGCTTCTATGGTGTTTCAGCCTTAAGTCCAATGGAGTACGTCAGTTCCTTAAATCTTACACAGGTGAGTTTGAAGTAAAGCCCAATTGACTAGTGGGGTTTCCCACATCAAATTGTGGCCTATGAAGGCTGCTATGCACCTCAAAAGGACAAAGTCTAGAGACCCAGTGGACTACCTGGCCTGGACAATCAAGGGCTGCATAGAAACTAGGTAAAAAACGTCCCTAAGTGTACCGGGTGTATTCTCCCCTTGAGTTCTATATAAGCCATGTTAAGCATTTTTACTGATGGGAGGTTGCCTTCTGTCATTTACCCACGGACAAAACTGTAATCACCTTCTCTGAGGCATGCATTCCCTTCTCCCTCCATCTTGATTTGAACTTCCAGTTAGGTTTGCTTATCACTCTTGAAGGAGTGTCTATTGATTTGGGGTACCCTTAGCTTAGCGCAATATTGCATTGCTGAATTTTAGACTTACCGGATACCCATGACAATGATTCCTTCCAGTTTCTTTTTTCTATTATATTGATGAGATCAAAACACTCTGTTATATCCTAAACTCAATACCACTGCTGCTGCTGTGGTCGTAGCAGATGACACACTGTCTGGTCCTCTGCCACCCTGACAACTGTTCTTATGTTTGTGCCCATCCATCCAGTCATTGTGTCACTCCATCCTTTTGAAGATCTTCCTTTTTTCTGGCTTTTGCTATCCCTGTACTTTACCAAGCATGATGTCCTTCTCCAGGGACTGGACTCTCCTGAAAGCATCTCCAAAGTAGTGAGACAAAGTCTGGGCATCGCTGTCCTACTTGTCCCAGGGGTAGACCGCTTCACCCGCAACATTTTTGTTTCTTACATTGAGTTGTAATCACTACTGGAGTCTGCAATCCTTGATCTTCATCAGCGAGTGTTTCATTTCCTCCTCATTTTCAGCAAGCAAGGTGGTGTCATCTGCATGCCATGGGTAGTTAATAAGCCTTCCTCCACTCCTGATGCCACACTCTACTTCATATAATCCAGCTTCTGCTGACGATTTGCTCAGCAAACATAGATTGAACAAATATGGTGCAAGGATACAACCCTGTCAGACCTTTCCCTATTTTATACCAGGCAGCATTCTCTTGCTCTGTTCATACAGCCTCCTTTTGATTCGTGTACAAGTTCCGAAGGAGCACAATGAAGTGTTCTGTATTTCCCATTCCTCTCAACATGATTTCGGTCCACACAGTCAAATGCCTTTGCATCGTCACTGGAACACAAGTAAACATCTGATATTTTCTGTTTTGAGCCAAGATCTATCTGACATCAGCAATGATATCCCTTGTTTCACATCCTCTTCAGAATCCGGCCTGAAGCTCTGGCAGTTCCCTGTCAATGCACGGCTGCAACCGTTATTGGATGATCTTCAGCAACATTTTACTTGCACGTGATAGCAATGATATTGTCCTATAATTTGAGCATTCTGTTAGGTCATCTTTCCTTGGACTGAGCACTAATACAAATCTCCTCCAGTCAGCTGGCCAAGTAGCTGTCTTCAAAATTTTCTGAGAGACGAGTAAGTGTTCCCAGTGCTTCATCAGCTGGTTGAAACAACCTGAACCTACATATGAGCAATCGAAGGTCTTTTCCAAAATAAACAAACCCGTGGCCTGGTTTTAACTGCTGATGTTGACCTTCTCCATTGTCAACTCAATAGAGCCGAGAATATTGATCTGTGTGCATTTCATTTGACTTCCAGCTTCACAAGATTCATACTTCATACATTCGTTATGAAAAGATGTTTGCAGCTGTTTCTTCTCGTTTTAATGTGTGCCCCATCAGCAAATGAAGGTCGTGAAGGCTTGACTGCTGAGGGTTTTTCGCCATCCAGTTCATTATGGTCAACTCTGCTTTGAGAAAGCAGCTTTTCTGCTTGGTCCTGGGCCAGGGATCAGAATTTTAAGGGAGGTAACCCAAACCGACGTTGACCTCCACAGGAACCAGTGTGTGAGTTCTGGAAGCAGGTATCAGTCCTTAACCCTGGAGGCCCAGTGTGGACAATCCTATCTACCACTCCCCAGGTTCCGTCTGCTGGCAGGAAATGGACTGGTTTCAAATGCATCCCAAATCCAATCACTTCCTCCAGCTTCAGGACCCCAACTCTGGTCTATCATTCAGCTCCGTGACTGGTGCTGAGAGAGAGAGAGGGACTGGCCCCCCCCCACCCCCCCCTCCGTACTGGATCCAACGGAAAGACCCGAATCTAAGCCTGTGGAATTTGGGGAAGAAAGAGCAATATCATCAAGACAGAATGTTGCCATAAAGGTGAGTCTGACCACTATAAGACCATCCTTGTGTGGCAGTAATAAGCCTGAGACGACCTGAGGGGAGAATTGAACCCAGATTCCTGGAGACAACGGGTGCAGCACGCATGTGCAGTTGTGAGGTAACCCTTGACCCAAATGACTCCGTGGAGACAAACAGCTGGCTCTCACCCTTATTAGCATAAGCCAAACCCTTTCCTAATAAACCCCACCTTATGTGATGAATAAACATAAGATTGTTTTCCCCAACTCCAGCCATCCCCACCTACACCTTCAAACTCCTTTGTAAGTTTCACTTTGCAGAACAATTGCTCAAGCCCCTTGGCATGACACAGTTCTCATGTTTTACATTCAGAAGTGAAAAATAAACCTTGCATGAATAAAACTCTGAAGTTGTCTCAACTGCTTAAATGAGGTGAGCGAAGACCCTCGGAGGCCCCCCAAAGCATCAGGACTCCTCCACAGCACAGTCAGCCCCTTCCTCCCTGGTCTGGTTTTCCATCAGTCTCTTCCTCCCTAGCAGTCTGGGTTCACCTGTTAACCCCCCACAAGGCCGCCTCTACTCAGAACCCTCACATGAATTCCATTTTACTCCGAGAAACAGTCAAAGTCCTTTGACCAGCATCCTATCAAGCCTCCAACTGCTATGCTAGGTTGAACAATGGCCACCTAAAGATATCCCCATCCTAATCCTAAGACCACCACTCGTCTGTCAGGTGGTTACACTGTGGTAGTTTATGTGGGACTGTCACTCTTAGCCAGTGAGCTGGAAGATGCTCCTCCATCTGGCTGTAGTCCTCTTGTGGAGTCCCAGTCCAAGCCTCAGGGGCAGAGTGCCAACTTGCGTTCCCACATTTCATTGCCAGATCACGCCAGGCCCCTCCCCTGACCTGTCCCAGCAGCTCTGATTGGCTGGACTGACCTGGAAGCCTGGGCTTTGTTGTGTCACAGACTCAGCCGAAGAACCAACAACATCAACTCCCAGAGAGTGATGGGCGCAAAGGCTTGTGACTCGGGGGTCAACAAGGGTCAGGATCAATTTGGGAGGTCCAGATCTGGACTCATGGCCCATGGGAGTGTACCAGGGCCTCCCATCCCCTCCATTACCCTTCTTATTGTGCTGCTGATGGTGCTCAAGGCTCATGCAGGTGGCTACGAGGTGCGAGAAAAAGACAGGAAAATGTCCAGGAATTGGTCTGTGCAGAGGCTGGGGGCGGGCTGGAGTATTTCTCTTTGCCAAGGACATAATGACAACCTTGTTTTCTGTGTGTCTTATGTATTTGTGTGTGTGTGTGTGTGTGTGTGTGTGTGTCCAACCATTGGGCATCTCCGTGGGTAGCTGTGTGTCATTTTGTAGTCTGAGAATGAGGCTGACAATACTGGGTGTCTTATTCTGTATCCAGCATGGGACATGGCTACATTCCCACTTATATGTACCTGAGAATGGATGTGTGCCTGCGTGTCCACCAGAGAGGGGGAAGAGCCTCAGTGGCATATGGTCCAGGATAAAACATAACAAGCGGTGGCATCTTTGAGTCGCGGACTCACTGGATCCGTATCTGATGGAGTCACATCTTGTGCCTAGTGATTACCCACTGCCTGCCCAGAGTTGGAAGGGGGGTGAGTGGAGTGGGAGCTAAATGCTGTGTGTTTGGGGTCCCTCTGCAGACATGCCCCAAAGTTCACCCTGACATGCTCAACGTGCACTTGGTGGCCCACACGCACAATGATGTGGGCTGGCTCAAGACAGTGGACCAGTACTTTTATGAAGGTGAGCAGAAGTCTAGACCCAACAATGTAGAAGACTCTTCCCCGGGCTACCCGTCCTCCTATGAGCCCCTCCTAGCAAACAACGTAGAACACTTTCCCCAGGCTATCCAAGCCTCACCTGACCCCAGACATAGTGAACTAGGTTGTATCCAGCATTGTACCTCTTATTCTAGGTATCACCCATGCACTCACTGTTTGTCTACCATGTACACAGTCTCATTACCTTTGTTTCCTGGGAGTGTGAGGAACATCCTGGACTCAGTGGTGAGAGCCCTTCTGGTCAACCCCACCCGTCGCTTCACCTACGTGGAGATGGCCTTCTTCTCCCGCTGGTGGAAGCTCCAGAATAAACGGATGCAGAAGATTGTGCAGGACCTGGTGCACCAGGGTAAGCTTGTCTCGTGGAAGTGGAAAGGGAGTCTCATCGAGCTTCCATTTCCGCAGCCCTTTTTGTCGAGTGTAGCCATGTACACATGCATTCCTCTGCCCTCTGAAAGAAGCTTGCCCCCAAGGAGCTCCCATGTGTCTTTCAAAGCAGCTCCTTCCGTGGTCTCTTGTCTTAAAAAGCCAGAGGAGCATTTGACCGTGTCCTCTCCATTCCCGGGTTCTACAGGGCCAAGAGTTGACCTCGCCATCCAAGTCTGGGTGTCCACGTGGGTACTCTCACCCTGGCCTCTAGTAGGCACTAATCTGTGTCCTCTGCCCTTCACCATGTCCCTTCCTGGCCAGGACGCCTGGAATTTGCCAACGGCGGCTGGGTGATGAATGACGAGGCGACCACGCACTATGGCGCCATCGTGGATCAGATGACACTCGGGCTGAACTTTCTGGAGAACACGTTCGGCAAAGATGGGCGCCCCCATGTAGCCTGGCACATCGATCCCTTTGGTCACTCGCGAGAGCAGGCCTCGCTTTTTGCCCAGGTGCCGACCCTTGACTCCTGTACAAGACATGACCCCTCCCTTTGTGCTGGCTTCGCCACACACTCCCCTACTCTCTGAGCAACTGGTTGAGGAGCCCCACCCCCCTTCAGACTGCTTAGGCCCATCTCCCCACTGCCCCTTTCAAGTTGTCCCCCTTTTCCAGATTAGACTTGACCCTGCCCCTACCTCGTGATGGTTTTCATCCAGATCCACTCCGAACATTAGTCATATTTCAAGGGTGAACATAGAGGGGAATCTTGACCTGTCTCTAGACTAGATGCATCACCTGTGTTCATTCTGAGCCTATCCCTCTCCAACTCCAGCACGGTGAGTGTGCAGCTTAAGACTGAAATATGATCACCTTTCTTACCCTTTACTTTACCCACTCCAAACTTGTGGAGAGAGGCTGGGACCTGGGGTTCAATCCTCCAAGCCCTGTATTCTGAGCCTGCTCCCTGTTCCCAGATGGGCTTCGACGGCATCTTCTTGGGGCGTGTGGACTACCAGGATAAGAACATTCGAAAGAGAATGCATCAGATGGAGCAGGTGTGGAGGGGCAGTGTGAGCCTCCCACCTCCCACTGCTGACCTCTTCACTTGTAAGTGAAGGTGCTGGAACTGTGAACAAGATGGGACATCCTATTTTTTACCTCCTCCTGGGGTCTTTTAGCCCTATCGTCTCACTCCACGGCCTGACCCACAGGTATCCTTCCCAACGTGTATGAGCCACCACGTGGATTTTGCTGGGATGTACTATGCAGTGACCCAACAATGGTAGAAGAAAATGGCACTTCCGTGTACATTGCTGACTTGGTGGTGGTGCAGTTCCTGAGAATAGCTGCTGACCAGGTACCCTTGACCAGGACATGGCCCTAACCAAGTACCACTGAGAATCGCCGTTAGGTCTCATGGAAATTGTAGTTAATGGGTTCTACCATGGCATAGTTGTCTTCTTAATTCATTTCCTCACGCTAGTATCTCAACCAAAGTCAAGGGAACTGACAGAAAGATGAATACAAGGTCATTGCATCTGCTGAAGTATAGTGATCTGGCTACTTAGTTATCAGGGCCAGATTGGGATTCCAGCCAGTCTGCTTCCAGAGCCCACGCGTGTATCCTATCATGATATATGCATCCCTGCTCAGAGGTTAGCAGCACCTTTCCCAACTACACACTCCACTCTGTGGAAGAAAAAACATGGCCCCACATCCCCTGTTGGGTAGGCCGATTGTAACTACTGATTACGCTGTATGATTATTATAAATACATATTGATGTTCCAACATACTACATGTAACCCTAACCACACAAGCACGCATGTGTGTTCTACCTTCTTGACAATTCATGACAGTGGCACACAGGGCAAAACTTCCAGGCACTCTGGTCTAAGAAGACCCAACTGTTCTGTTTCTAGGCCAGCCACTACCGCACCAGGAACATCATAATGACAATGGGTTCAGACTTCCATTTTGGGGAAGCTGAAAGATGGTTCAAGAACCTCGATAAGCTCATCCAGCTGGTCAATGCACAGGTGAGCATGCCGCCCTCCCCCACTGGACTGTGTGTGTCCAATGTGAAGGTTGTGTAAAGGATGAAACCTCTCCCTGATAGCTCATGTAAGGGTATAAAGTTGACGTTATTGCTTAGGTGAGTACAAGAAAGCTACGGTCATCCTACAGCTTTTCTACATAGAACAGAGTCATGTCTTACATTGTGTTGTGGGGAAGAGCGGTGTTCAGAATGTGACAAATATTCAGAGATGGGGTTGTCGAAACTGCAGTCTCTCCACAAGACTGCCAAGTGCATACGTCCATGATTGTGACCTCTGAGGCAAATGGTCTTTCAAAAGGCTTAACGCAGATTCTGGTGGCCACAAATGATCACGTCTATAGATGTAAAAATGGCTTCACGGAAGCCAGGGTTAAGATGCTTGAAACAATAAAGCACTCTGAAATAAATGGGAGAGCATATCATATCTGTCCAGTAACAGGTATAGGGGAATCTGCCTCTCTGATCATCAAACAGCAAAAATACCTGAAACATCAATTACTGGAACCGCCTCACCTGCTGCGTCGTCAATAAGAACATGGGTGAGCTAAAGAAATAGAAGAAATGGAGATAGTTGCTCACATGGTGAAGAACACGGGGCGGGGTGGGGGGGGGGGCGTAATCAAACCAAATCGCTTGTGTACAAAGAAAAGCATTACCTATGTAGAAAAAAGAGCCCTGGAAATGCACTGGTTAAAATTCTCAGCTGATAATTAACAGTTGAACACTTTTGCCCCACCAGCTGCTTCATGGGAGAAAGATGTGCCCATCTTCTTCCGTAAAGAACGATAATCATGGAAACCCCTTTGGACACATCTTCACTGTGCCATAGGGTCACTGTGAGTCACAATGAACTTGGTGACCATGGGGAACGATTTAACCTTAAAAAGAGCCCACCTGGAAGCCGCAGAGGTTGCTTCAGTCTCTCGCTCCTCCTGATCTAGCAGCGCCATAGAAAGAGCTTCCGCAACAAAAGCCTTGGCTCTCCACTGACCGTGGTGACACAACTGCACAGCGTAAGCTCCCTGTTCAGTTACTGTGCTGAGTCCTTGACATTTGAAGGTCATCCGAGAAAACACTTCAAGTCTTTCAACTGTCTCCACTTCTCATTCAGAGAACTCAGTGCATACGAAATCAGCCTCGGTCATAGCAATGAATTTCATTTCAACTTCTGCAGGGAACTTTTCTCCTAAGTTGAGGGTCCTGAGGGAGGCTAACAAGTGATCAGGAATGGCAGAAACACCCTTGCTTCCCAGAGAACAATTTAAAGACATGGAGAAGGGTTGAAAGGCTAGACTATGGCCACAGGAAGACCAGCAGATAGACAATGACCAGGTGCTGGTCATTCGCATTCTGCCCAATCACTGGTGCTCTACGGGGGACTCTGCCTGCCACAAGTGACGGGTTATATTTCAGGAGCATGGAACAAGAGTCTCCATTTGTTTTCAATGCTTCTTTTTTCCCTTTTTAAAAATTTTACTGGGGGCTCTTACAGCTCTTATCACCATCCATCCATACATAGATCCATTGCGTCAAACACATCTGTACATCCGTTGTCATCATCTGTTCAAAACATTTTCTTTCTACTTGAGCCCCTGGCATCAGCTCCTCATTTTCCCCCTCCCGCTCCCACCTTCCCTCCCCCATGTCCCCTTGATAATTTATAAATTTTTCCCCATGTCTTATAACGACCGCTGTCTCATTTCACCCACTTTTCTGCTGTCCATCCCCCTGGGAGGGGGGCCATACATCGATCATTGTGATTGATTCCCCTTTATTCCCCCTCCCCAACTTTGCCCTCCTAGCATCGCTGCTCCCCTTATTGGTCCTGTGTGGTTTATCTGCTCTGGATTCCCTGTGTTGTCAGTTCGTATCTGTGCTGCTTGGGTGTGAAAGTAGAGTAGAAAAAGTTGGGGCTGCTTTCAGTCAAGGTAAAAATTATGGACTAGAAACTGCGTGGAAGTATACCTGGCGTTTAAGGTTGGTTCAAAACTTAAGAGGACAAGAAGTCCATATTTGAGAATCTAATGAAATATGCATTTCCTGTGTCTGGAAAAATGGGTTATGAGATGGCCTGCTATCTGCAAGGTCAGTCGTTTGAAACCATCAGGTGCGCCGAGGGAGAAAACCGAGACTTTCTACTCCCATAAATAGTTACAGTCTCAGAAACCCACAAGGGCAGTTCTACCCTTTCCTATCGTTGCTATGTGTTGGGAGTGATTTGATGGCAGTGAGTTTGAGAGTTTCGTCTCTAATGACCTGCCCCTTTTTATTGTTGAATATGAAGAAGTGTTCTCTAAAACTGGGCGAGGAGCACAGATGGCAGAGAATTCCCAATGAAAGCTGGAGAACCACAAAGAATGACTAAGAAGAGTATGAGCCGAGTGATACTCTCCCCACACTCTTGCCAGTAAATATTCCAGATGGAGAATTGGAGTAGCATCCTTCAGATCCCAGGGCTGTGTTCCAGTTTTATCGTGGATTCACCTTGAAAGGCGAACCACAACCTGTACAGTCAGCTCATGGTGGGAACGTGGGAAGCTCAATAAAGATGAAACATATCTTTAAATGATCATGGGGTTCAACGCCCAATCTCATAAAATCTGTATATTTGGTGCCCGGCCAAGTGTTAATACGTTGTCAAGAGGGCAAAGGGGTTATAAAAATGAGGATGTCTATCAAAATGCAGTATTGATAAACATCCATGTTTATTTTCATAAACATAAACATTCATGTGATGAAGGAATTCTTATGAAAGCTTAAGGAACGTTGAAGATGTCAAGGGTTTTGTCTTGCTTAGATCCACAATCCATGCTTATTGAAACAGCAGTCAAGAGACTAAAAGGTGAGTTGCATTGGTCAAACATGCTGCACAAAACGTCTTTAGAGGATTGAAAAGCAAGGATGTTACCGTGAGGACTAAGGTGCGCCTGACACAAGCCAGGGTATTTTCTTTTTTTTTTTTTT